AGAGCAAAAAATGGTACGAGCATCAACGTATCTTCATCCACCGTAAATCAAAAAAGTAACAAGATCGACGAGAAGGCAATAAAAGGTTAGTAAAGATTGCTTGATACTTAAAATTCTATAATTTTATAAATAAACATATAGAAAATGTTATATATATATATATATATATATATATAATGTATAATATTATGTTTAATGATCATTATTACGTGTTAAATATATTTTAAACATTCATTATTAATAAGAAATTATTATAATTTTTACAAAATATGAATGATTGATTTTTGTTATTCTTTTTGATAACTTTATTCATTTACTCCGACTTCATAACTTCTTTTCATTAAATATATACACTGAGCGATAAATTTAAATATTAAATATATTAAAAAGGAGAAAGTTATATGCCATATTTATTTGCATAGCTACTAAATATGAAAGCTTATTCATTCATATTGATGCAATGCTTTTAATATTTCTACAAAGTACTTGTGCCTCTTTGTTTACCTTATAATATGAATATTTTGAATAGAAAATAATAAGGAACTGTTATTCTCTTTTCCTACTATTTTCAAATTATTTATTATTCCATTATTTTCATGTAAACATTTAAAATGCAGACATTTTACGTAAATTATTTCATTTAGCTCGTTTAAAAATGAACGATAATAACATTCGCAAATTTTAATTATAAGTAAACAATAAGATTTATTTCCAAACAATTTAAATATTTTCTTTTCATATTTATGGAACCTTTTTTTTTTTTTTGAAACCTTATATGACAGGTATCAAATCAATAAGGTACAACAGAATAAATGTTATAAATTAATTCACGATTAGTCAATTTTATAGAAAATTTTTATTCCCTTCAAAATTTTCCTTTGCATTTGTATTCCATTTTAATGTTTAATACATTAATTATACTTATGAACCTATCGTTGTTTAATAAATTGAAGAGTTCCGTTATTAATAAATATATCGAAGTTATGCAATAATAAATACCTTAATTGAAAAAAAAAATATATATATATATATATATGAAAAAATGAATTTTATAATAAATAATGTAATACTTTATGTTTGCTTATAGAATATTATAATTGCCATTACTGATCACTAATTAATTTTTGTCAATTTTATAAATGTCAACAAATATTGCATTTAATTAAAACATTGTATTTCGTTTAAACGAACGGAATTTAAATTATTTATGTATTAATAATGACCAATGGAACATCGTCTTCTCCTTTATAAATAATATTAAAAAATATAAAATTATTTTAATTTTATAAAACTGAAATCTATAATGTGACAATGTAAAAAGTTTCGAGCAAATAAATCAAATGGAATTTATTGGAAAATATATAATTAGAATCTAATATAATGTTTTAGATTAAATATTTATGAAAAAGATGTAATATTTTAAAATTTAATTATGACACCTCATGGTTTTATCACATTATAAATGTATTTTAGATAATTGTGCTTATAAATCTTTGTCAATCAGTATTGTTAATTGGAACAAAATATTAATCATTTTATTACGATCGTACAACAGCTCGTGCAATACAACGATTGAGATTGTATTATTTGATACTTAATTTTCTTGAAACGAAAAAATGTAAAATTAAGAAAATAAATATTTTAAAAGTTAACTCTACATTATTTGGTAGCAATTTTATATTATAATAAGAAATTGTGCAAAATATTACGTCATTCTCTCAGTAGAGAAAGAAATTTGTATGCCTATTGTAACTTATTCTATTAATTTATGTTTTTTTAATCAGTTGTTTGTATTTTGCATTATATTAATGTTAAAATTATATTATAATTTCAATATGGTACCGTAATAATTAATTTTTATGAAATATTTCATATAACTATGAACCAATAAATTGTAACCATTAAATCAAATGAGATATTTGAATGTAACGTTTACTTAATAATGAACTTATTATAATTTTTATCCAAAGTTCATTGACATTGAAATATTTGATATTCAATCAAATATTGTATACACTTGTGCAAATATTCAAGATTTTTTCAAAGATCAAGTTAACGCACTAGTTTGAAGATATTTTTTATTATAAAAGTTCCATTAAATGGCAATGTTCACTCTTTATTTTAAAATATTTTTGAATCCATTGTAATATACATTCATTTACAATATTATGTCAATGTTCAAATTAAAAATTGCAATTTAATATTTATTATTGAAAAATTTCAGATATTTTAAATGAGTTTTTAAATACGAGTTTAGTAAGCTCTAATATAGTCGCCATAAATAATGAAAATGTCAGATTGAAATTGTATTAATAACTACATTAAGCTTGTATGAAACTTTTAATAACAATATCTTTCCTTCAATTTTCCAGATATGTTATAAAACTTTTTAATATTGAGATAAATTTTGTTTAAATACAACTTGTGCTTTAATTATAGGAGTTAACTATGCGTCTCTCAATGTTCTGCGATATGCATTGTTCGATTTTAAATATGAAGGTCCATTATGAATCCATAAAGCCTTGACGCATTTAACTGCATTAGTAAACAAAGTCATAACGGGAATAGTTATTTTCTCAATTTTCATTATCTCACTGCCAACGTTCACATGAATTATTAAAGTTGTGTGTTTTTGTTTACACATATAAATTTGGAATACGACACTAATCGATAAATTATTTAATAATATTTTAATTTACATTGTGTGTATTTTTAGAACTATTTTTTTTTTATTTTTTTTTTTATTTGGAAATTTGTTAAAGTGCACGAGAAGGTAATGGATTCAGCACTGAAGAATCGCTCGATTTTTTTTTATTTATAGAATAAAATTTGTCGTGCATTTTATAATTGTAATAGCTTAATAAATCGATAGTTTTGATAAAAGATCGGGCAAAATTTTTGTATATTTTTAAAAATAAATTTAAAGCTTATTTGACGATTTGTTAATCAATCGACAGTTACAAATGATTTTTTACATTCATTTCTATGGAGGAGGAAAACTTATATAATGTAAAATGTGTTTTTGTTACGAGATATATCAACTGTCGTACTGCTTTTTGTCTCTAATGTCAAGTTATCTTACTCATGCCGTATCTTTTTTATTAAGTATAACAGTATTCAAACAACTGTTGATACGAGCACATTTTAACAATTAAATACAACCGAAAAGTAGTTGTATAATATGTATATATATATATATATATATATATATATATATTTCTATGTAATTGATTGAATCGAACGATATAATTGCATCATTGCAGCACGCTACGCTTACTTTACAATTAACGATTAATATTTGTATTTTTAATTATATTATTGCGCTTATATCCATCTAAATTCATATCATTTATGTTAATTATACGTAGATATCGCGATGCGCAATTGAACCGCACGCGCTAGCAATTCCATTTTGCAAGACGAACTAAAGTCGTCTATATCAAAAGTTTTTCAAATTTTTTTTCAGTTAAGCGCTCGATCATCAAACAGAAGAACGAGGACGAGTGCCACGAATTCAGCGGTCAATGCAACTGCCGGAACTGTCGGGTCCTCGTTAACTTGACGGAGTGTGCCCTCTGCATGGAGATCCTCCAGAGCAACCAAATAAAGTCTTGTCCCGTGTGCGCTAACGTCGTCTGCATAGGCTGCGCCTCGCGGCTCACGAGCTGCGCCTTTTGCAGATCCGAGCAGCCCGCCGAGAGGAATCGAGCCCTCGAGAGGTTCGTCGACAGACTCTTCCTCCCTTGCAAGCATTCCAAGTACGTAAGACCTCAATTTCTGTCTTAATTAAATATATGTGCCTCCTCCTCCTCCTCCTCCTCCTCCTCCTTAGCGTCGCATTCCATTACGCCCGCCCGCGCTCTTGCATAATGCAATATCTCCCATTATTATTCATATTATTAGTTTGTCCGCTGTTATCGCTGTCACTGTTAATGTAAGCTGAGTGATAAATCTTGCGAGCTTGTAAAGGAATAATAGAATTTGCTTAAAAAAAAGTAAAAATTTTTTTTTAATATAATACCAACTACATTGATGCACGGCCCTGTCGATCACGTTCAATGTATCACGTCGATATCTTAACGTGAATCATACGTCAAATATAATTGAAATTAGATGAAGTACCGCGTGCACGCGATCGATCACTCCCACGTCGCCTCCTTGCTCTACCGATAATGATATAATAGAACATCAGGGTCCGTAACCCAATCGCTTTTTGCAGATCAGGTTGCAAGGTACTTTTGGACGGCGAGAGTAGATTCATTCATGAGTCGCTGTGCAACTTTTCGGCGTTGGTTTGCCCCGTCGGTCGCGGCGACTGCGATTGGCACGGCACCATCGCCAACGTCCAGGCGCACTTCAGAACCGTTCACATGCTCCAGCCCCTCCAGGATCACGGCTTCTCCGTGCAATTCAATAACTTCCGCAGCAAAGCCAAGGACACCGACAGCAGCATTTATACGGTAAGGCCGACCCGTCTCTCTTCGCGACCTTACGCATTCACGAATTTTTGTCACTTCATCGGTCACTTCTTAGCTCCATCGGCAATTGCATGCTTTACTCTGTTGATTACGAGACCGCTAAGGCGAGAGACACTCCCGACCCCTCTTTAATTATTCAAAAGTATTTTTCTGCTCGAAAGCGAGCGAGCGAAGCTTCAAAGTGCACAAAGGAAGGCAAACTTTACCGTTTCAAACTATCCACTTTTACGGATAAGACGCTCTTGCGCCAGACTTCCTTGTCTACGTACACAACATCACGCAACACAACGGTGTAATGCCTGCCCGACGTCATTAAAGCAAAGTATGCATGTACACATAATGTATAGATTTATGCCACGACGAAACATGAATATTTGAATAATGCGAGTGTCACTGGAGCGAGAGCGGGTCTGTCGTCCCCATTGTCGATGGAGCCACGTTAACCCGCGAGCGAATACACAAGCGATTATCATCCCCAGGTTTGCCTCTCGTGCTACGAGCAGCTGTTCGTTATCCGGGTGGTGTTGTGCAAGAGCCGCCTACGATTGTTCTTCACGCGGCTCGGGTACGAGGAGGTGCAGCCCTTGACGACGCGTCCCCAACGCTACGGAGTCTCGGTGGTCATCAGGGCGCACGCGGGCCGAAGGATGCGGGGCCTCGTGCCCTTTGGCAAGTACGACCGCGAGAGTCGCGAGATCACCGTTAGTTGGGACGGCCTCTTCCCCAAAAGCAGCGCGGCCTGCGCCGAGGACATGGTGGAGATCGATTTGCTGGTTAAGCAGCTCGAGGAGTCCTGAGCGGCGGCCGCGAGCCACCCGCAAGTGTAATCGCTGAGCGAAGAACGCGCGGCGAAGCTTCCGGCCTGACTCCGCGCGTTTTGGATCCTTCGATATTCGAAATCGGCGCCTGCTCGCGTTGTCGTTGCGCCCACATGGATGGTAGTTTTTGCTAAACGAACGAAGCCACGATGATATTATAATATTGTAATTATTAATAGGCGAGGCGCATCGAGGGTGATAATTTGGCGTTTAATTCATTAAAAGCGCCGAGGCGAATTGCGAAATTCGGCATTCTTGCAATTGGCGTGTCAACCTGAAATATATATACATATATATATATATATATATATATATATATATATATATATTATCCTCACTCGTGGGTGGAGGGTAGTCGGTGAAAAGTAGCTTAATATGTATATGTATATGTATATATATATATATATATGTCAACGAGAGTGCCGATTCTAGGGGCCAATTCATTTTAACGATATCGTTCGTTACATCGAGCCTTTGTAATGGATCGAATAAGCATTTTAGTATTACTATAGCTACTTACTAGAATTAAAATTGCATTAAAGTTATAATTAAACGTTGGCATTTAGCAGTTAGCATTAAAGCTCGAATTACGAGTCAATTAATTCTGTACGTACATATACACGTATTGTTTGCCAATATGTATGTATTAAAGGACATCTATATTCGTTTTCTTAAGAGTGGGATTATACATTATGTATTATTTTATGCTGATAAGTGATACCCCCCGTTCCTTTCCATATTCTATAAATTTTGTAAATACATTTGTTCATTGCTCGTAAGCGTAACTTAAATTATTCGTTTAGTTTTATGAAGTAATGAAATGTAGTTGAATCGTTTGAATAATCTATTTTGCTTTTTGCGATGAAAGTTAAAAGTTAAAAGGAAAACGACGATAAGATGGTTTTTATACCAAAATATATTATTCAATTGCAAATTTATTGTTAAAATTCATGTAAAACAAACAATGTATTATTAAATATTATTAAATATACTCGTATTATTAAATATACAAGTAAATTTTTTTTTTTTTTTTTTTTTTTTTTTTTTAAATAAAAACTCGTAGCGCAATGTTGTTAATAATTTTATGATTAAATAATAATGTTTTTCTTCATTTTTTTTTTCTTGTCACGTTGTTAAGAATTTAATTTAATGATCGATATCAGTATTGTTGTATTCGTATTTTTATTGTACGGCTCATGTAAGCAGTACCAGTCATACGATTCACGTATAAAAAAAAATTTAGCATATATAAAGGTGCAAATTTTTTTTTATAAATATATTCCTATATAACCATTTTATAAATTTATACAAATTTAGTTTTATAATGTAATTCTTCGTGTACAAAAGGAATGAAGTAATATAAGTAATTGGAAGATTGTACTAATACAATTGCTTGAATATACGTCAATGTGGGATGTGTTGTGTATTCAAAGAACGGGTGAATAAAACAATTAAATTCTTTATTACGTAATATTTTTATTTCTTCTCTAACTTAGCATGTAAATAATTACTTTTATAATAAATTCATCAACTTTTATACAAAACAATAATAAAACTTTACAACTTTTAAATCGATATATCATTAAATTTAAGTTTATACAAGTAAAATGATTGCTTAAAACATCAAAATAATTTAAAAGTATGAGTTAAACTATATTTACATCTCTTTCATAGATTTATATTTGTTGGAAAAAGAAAAAGAAAAAAGAAAAAAAAAAAGATATAGTAAAATATAAAATGAAATAAAATAAAATGAAAAAAAAAAATAAACAAAAAAACAAGTTATATAATAAAAATTCTTATCTTATTTTATTAAAACATCTGCTTCTTATGACGCCAATCTCATGCATTAACTGAAATTCAAAAATGTTTTATCTATAAAAGCGCATTTTATTTCACTACGCTACTATACATACACGTTATAATCAAGTACCACCACTATATTTGTAATATCGACATGTATCATTCGTGTAAAAATCATTTGAAAATCACTTATAAAAGGTACTCGTACAAATATCTATACTCATCTTATTATAAGTTAACTATTTAGGCCATTTGAAACTTGAATATTTTACAGTTTGCCATTGTAACTGTATTTTTATTCCTACACGAGTCTATTCTTCGTATTATAGCACGCAAGAGTAATAGAATAGTAGAGAATGAAATTCTTTTAAAGCAAATGTGGTGCTGTTATATTTCCAGGTATAAGCGTAATAAAAAAAATCGTCTTAGCAACTCTGTGAGTTTGATGTTTTAGAATAATTATTATTATAAGAACGAATAATTTAAATATACTGATTAATATATTGCTCTAGCTGAATATGAATAAGGTATGTAAAATGTAATAATAGCATGACAGACATTTTAAAATAATCCTGCAGTTGTCCAATTAATATGTAATTCAATAGGTGCGGTAAAGTTTAGTCTAATTTCTCGTGTAATCAAAATTGATTTCTTACTAAAATATAATTTAACTAATAATGAAACTACTTTAAGGTCTTGATGATAAAGTCTTTTGTATGCTTTATCCTTAGATTAGAATATTATATAGTAATTGCAAGATTCTATTTATCTAATATTTTGAAGTGCTTTGATTGTGATATTTATTGTCCTTAAATTAAGATATTAATAAGCCAACATTATTATTTTTATTATGATGATTTCATTGGTAATTTACTTTCGGTAGCTAAATTTCTTCTAACTTGTACATTTACGAAATATTACATACTAACTTTATATCGCAAACCATAAGTTTATATTTAGGAAGAAGTGCAAAAGCATCCGGATCAAACAATCATTGTTTTTCTTTCCATTTCTTTTCTTTTCTTTTCATTTCCTTATGAATTAAGAATTCGATGGACTTTACATTTAATACAACGAGACGAAATATTTGATTTTTACCTCAATGCTAATCAGTGGCATTAACACGTGTTTTAATCAATAAAAACAATTAAATCAACTGAATGTAACAAAATGCTCGATCATTGTGACTGTTTCAAATGTTGATATGAAAAGGCACATTAAATCACCACAACAGAATATATGCAATATAAGCCATCGTAAGTATATCCGTACTGGGGACGGAGCATTGAAAAGTTCGCTCGTCAATTTTTCTAATTTTGCTAATTTATAATGGAATTAAAATTAAAACTTGTGTCTCAATTTATTATAACGTTTGCGCGACCCTGTTGTCCTTAATTTTTATATCAATAGTACACCATCTTTCTTTTTTTGTCAATAAAAGTAAATTTTGTATTTTATCAACTGAGGTTAAGATAAAGTCACGAAAAGTTAATATCTCTTATCCGTGCCAGTCAATCAATTGATTAATATTATTAGTTTATCATCGTTACTATGCTGATATATTAATATCAACATATTTAATGACATACTACAAAAGAATTTTGTTAAAATTCACTTATTTTCATTCCATTGTCCTACCATCAGCCGTCATTGTGATTTCATAGAAACAAGTTTGCGCGAACGAGCTCTTGCTTCTGTACGTACGTTTGTGTACTCAAACCATAGAACATTGGGTATGAGTGTGGTGTCACGTAAAAGTAGATATTCCGATAACTTCCTGAGCAAATAAAGATAAATGTATACATGCGTATATACATATATATATATATATATATATATATATATATTAGCATTATCATAAGTAATTTTAGTATATTTAAAATTATTTATTATAAAAGATTTTTGACAAAACTTGGAGCTTTATATTTGTAAATATGAATTGTAATATACTATTTATTCTTATCGATATTTAGTCATAAACCAAAATTTGCATGCTCGCTATTAAATATATTATCAACGTACTCACCAAGTCACAATTACAGGGAAATATGATGTTAAAACTAAATGTACAATTGTAAACCAAATTATGCCTAAAATAATGCCAATTATTGCTCCACACAGTACTTGGGAATGAGAATGATATTGAAGGTAAATTCTGCTATATGTCACTAATTCAGCCAGCGCTATGCATGCAGCTATAATAAGTACTCGCCAAAATCGTTCAGATACCGTGCTATTACTGTTTTGATGTAATCTGCAAGATAATGAACACGTCGTATGAACAAGTAAAGGGACAGATGTAATACAATGTGGCAAAAAAATAAAATCAAGTATTTTAGTATCATACGTTACCTGATTAATACAAATAAAGTCATGTATGCGGCAAAGAACCACATGAATTGCGCATGAGTAGATGGCATACCGTATTCGGAGTATAATACATCTCGCCGTATTGGCCTCGCTTCTTGAATGGTATGTTTCAAAAGAAGATTTACAATTTCGTTAATCGTAATCCCACCAAGGAATGCAATCTAGAAACGAGCAAGAAAATTTGTCGATTATATTAAAGCGTTCGATTTCTCCGTCCTTGTCGCTAGGTAAAAGCATGAAATATTTAAATACAATTACCGTATGTAAGTCTCGTCTAAAGAGTACCAATGTGATAAATCCAGCGAGTATGGCGAAGGGCATGAGACTTATTAAAGCTAGTAGCAATCCAAAGATATCTCCTAAAAGCGATCGATTAAGAATTACTTACTAAATGCTTGAGATCTGTTAATTTGCTGATTATTGTTTTAAATTATCGATGGGTGATCGGAGAAGCAATTGATGGCGAGTAACTTGAAATTGAAATATTAAGAAACACTGGGCTTGAAGCAAGTACAACATAAATCATTAACAAGTGAAAAGGGATAATTTTAGGTGACTTATACCAACGTACAAACAATGTCTATTATTTAAAATGCATTAAAGCAACGAACCTTCGTCAACTCATTTAGCAATCCATATGCGCGCAGCTTGAAAAATACCTATCGGTCCTAACTATTGGCCATTATAATTTATAGGTTATGTGCACTCGGGTAAACTTTGAGTAAAAATTGCAAGGTAAAGGCTTGATCGCGTTGATAACTGAGCGCACACGACAAAGAAACGAAAAAATAATGATCCGGGCACAATTGGCAATAAAACGTTAAACGGGGCTCTCGCGTGCTCTTAGAAAATGCAGCCGGGCTGCTAACCGCCAACTGGCTTCATTCATCCGAGAGTACGGGCGAACGCAAAAGAAGGAGCCGGCGAAGGTCCGAGCGACCGCGAGATCAGCTACTGGAGAAACGAGGTTCGACCGACCGACCGACCGACCGACCGACCGACCGACCGACCGACCGACCGACCGATGGACGAGGAGGGACAGCACGGAGACGCGAAAAATCATTGACAAATTCGGCTCAGCAGGCAAGCTGCCACGCGAAAAGCGGTTAGTAAATGGCGGTCCGGGCATCAAGGCCGCCCCGCCAGGTATTCTCCGGTTCCCACGGCGCTGGCCTTTTTTTACGCTCACCTTTGGGATACTCGACGAGGGTGAGGGCCAACGGCACCCAAGCTGCGGTGGCTCCGACATTGCCGGCCGTGGCGTCGTCCCCGGGCTCGAGCTCGCCGAGGTCGCCGAGGTTGCCCTCGTCCGAGGAGGCCATGCCTCTCTGGCTCCGGCGTGCGGCGCAAATCTGAGCCGCCGAGCGGACCACCGCGAGCTACCCGAAAGCCCCGATTAGCTAATGGGTGCGCGCGACGCGCGCTGCGAACGCCGGCGCAGCTTTTCCGCGCGCTCCTCTCGACACCTTGTCTTTTCTTCCCACGGCACCTCCGACTCGCCCTCACCCCCTCCGCCACCTCTTCAGCCAACACCGCCGCCACCGCCGCCACTGCCGTCACCCCGTCGACCCGCAGCGGTTGCTCCACGGAGGCTGTGGATCCCCACGGCTGTTTTTGGTCTCGTTGCACTTGGCTGTCGACTGGCGCCTCGCGAGGCGCGTTTATTTATTGGGAACTCGATTCGGCGCCGAGAAGAAAGGTGCTGTTGCGAATTACTCGTAACTTTCTCCATCCGGCTGACCTCGGCATCGCGTGTCTGCTGAGCCGCGAAGATTCGCCTTTTTCATACGGAGAGACGATGAAATACTCGGCTCTATTGATTTTTCCTTCTTTTTTCCTCTTTTTGTTTATACACACGCATGCACACACACACGCGCACACACGCGCACACACGCGCACACACACACATATACGTGTGCGTATAACGCGGGCGTTAGCGCGTTTATTGGTATTGCACGTTAGAAATAGATATTAATTAACAAATTGTTTTTTATTAATTTTATTAATTAACAAATCACTTTTTGTTTGTTTTTATTTGTTGTTATCGTTTGTTGTCGTTGTAGTCGTAGTCGTAGTCGTCGTCGTCGTCGTCGTCGTCGTCGTCGTTGTTGTTGTTGCTTTATGATTGAGTACTAAAATTTACGACGAATGAACACTGTGGGCTTGCAGCGTTCTCGATAATTCTCCATAATTTGTTTAAATCTTTGCTCGAAGCTCGAAGCTCCCTCCGTCTGCTTATTCTCGTGCGCTGCGACGAGCTGCCAAGTATGTTTTATCCGAAGCAAATGGCTTTCGAGCAGAGACTGTTGCAATTACCATTTACGGGGGCGTATAAGCGAAAAAAGGACGAGTAAGACTTAACTTGGCTGTTAATAAGCAGTCGGCTCTCGGATACTGAACGCGCACACACAATTCGTCGCATTTAGTATTAATGGTTTATCGAGCGAATCTTTCAATTGTAAATTGAAATGAATATTGAAATTCCAGTGGCACGGGCAGATTGTACTGTTTAATAATAAATAATTAATATGTACAATAAACCATGCGTCGGCTGTTAACGTCTCTAGGCTGGGCTTTTCTATAGATCGAAGCGATATAAATATAACTCGACAGTTCATCGACAAATGCATATTTTTGGCTATGTTTAGCCAGAATAATTAACTCTGTTTACGATATTTTAATCATCGGAGCGCACTCGGAGGGGATCAGTGGCAAAAGTCATGCGGATATTTAATGAACGAGTGAACGAGCAAATCGCTTAACAAAAAAAAACAAAAAAAAACACTTTTTTTTTATACCTAACAAGATGAGTAAAAGTCGAATACATAATTTATTATGTGGTTTGTATTGGTAATGTAGAAGACCATTGGAATGACGAAAGCCACATAATAGCCATTTTATTGTTTAATGGTTAATTAATAGGAGCCGGGGCTACAGCATAACATTCCATACTAACGTTTGTCGCTACACCGCTCATCCTCAACCCGACGCTTAGTCTTTAATGATAAAAAATGTTGACGCTATAAAAAAAAAAAAGAAAAAGAAAAAGGAACATTGTCAGTGTTGAAAAAGACATTTTTCGATATTGCGATTGCGTATCAGTCGCGTTAAGTTTGCACATACTAAACACAATGCAGCAGGTGTGCTAGACTTTTGTGCCGTTTGATGGCTGGGGTAAGGTAAAGCTATGAAAAAGTCACGAAACAACTTTGACATTAATATTGATGGCTCTTGACGGTAGAACCCGATGAACATTAGTTAATATTCTCATGGAAGAATGAATTCAAAGCCCGAATATAAAGTACGTTATAAATCGACCTGGGGAACTTTTTGATCACAACCTCGTATGCAAATCAGTAGAACTGTCGAAGGTCCGGTCAGGCGTGCACTTTCTACCGTTCATCCCTTTACATTATTATTATTATTATTATTATTATTATTGTTGTTGTTGTT